GACTAAATGCCAGGTAATGTAAGTCCTCTATTTGATTCTTCTTTTAAAAAAACAAAAAACAAAAAAAACATTCTTTAGATATACTAGGTCCTTTGCTTTTAATGTTAGGTTAGTTTAATTTTTTATTTACATTATTATGAATAAAATTGACCATCTTTTCATATGTTTAAAGGACACTTTTTTTTCTGATAAGCTGATCATGTTCTTTGCTAATTTCTCTATTGGTTTCTTATACCTCTTGATTTTGATCCATCTAATTATATATAGGAGTAGAATTGGCCTAGCTTTTGTGGCAATTTTTATTCCTTTCTGGTTTACAAGGAATTGGACTCTACTGGCATATATTTTGGCTCCCAGAGAATAACATATTCAGCTTAATGCTTCTGAAACATGTTGGATTGATTCTCATTAAAGCAGTAAGACAACATTACCCAACTTAACCATGATAGATTCTGCCACCCAATGCCTCAAACTACCTCAGTACAAATTATCCTTAGATAAGAGCTCTGTCTGGTAGCAAATAATTCAGGTCAGCTATAAATGGTAACACTCAAAGTTATAGGTAATGTTTCCTACCAATTACTTCACCCCGCTTAGACCTGTGACCGTAAAAATTATAGATTGAGACATTCCAATCAATAAGCTATGAAGCAAGCAGTTTCTATGAAAATTACTCATCCATTGTATTTTGTTTATAAAAAATGTCCTTGAGGCAGGGGTAGGGAAGAAATGGGTTGAAACCTATTTTAAGCAGCTTCTTAACAGCATTTGACTGATCTTGGAAAATAAGTATAGAACCCTCATATTCTAATAGAAACCATTCTCAAATATTAAACCCAAGTACAGTTCCTAAGGTTCTAGAAGAAAAAAAATTGGAATTTTCTGCCATGTATTGCCTTCATTCTCAAATATTTATTATATTCTTACTCTGTACCAGGTACTACTTGAATCACTAGAAACACAAAGGTATAGATTCTGCTCTTAAATCTCAGAGATTTCTTTCTATTGTAATAAAATTGAAGTGGCATTATACTATGAGAGTGGTTACTTCAATAAGAACTTTTATGAATATCTATCACTAATGTTTTAGATCAATATACAACAGCCAAATCTCAGCAAGGAGATAATAATAAAAGTTCACCTACTAGGCACACTTTATATCAGTGGCTGGCTATTAGAACTTAGTAATTAAAATATAGGAGAGATTTAAGCAGGACTTTTAAAGTGACATAGTGATTAATTACTAATTAATTAGACTAATACCCATAAAAAGAACTATATGCTTAAGATGAAACACTAGATTCAGATTAAACAAAAAAGAAAAAAATACGACTTTGGGAGTATTCAGTTTTGTGTTTTTGTGTTTTTTTAAATTAAATTTATTGAGTGACATTGGTCAACATGATCATATAGGTTTCAGGTGTAAATTTCTATATCACACCGTGTGCCCACAACCCAAAGTCAAATATTCTCCTATCACCACATATTAGGACTCTCTTCTCCCCCCACCCCCTTCCCTCTAGAAACCACCACAATGCTGTTTGTGTTCACAAGTTTCAGTTTTATATCCCACATGTGAGTGAAATCATATGGTTCTTAGCTTTTTTAACTGGACTTATTTCACTTAGCATAATATTCTCAAGGTCCATCCATGTTGTTGAAAATGGCAGTATTTAATTATTTTTATGGCTGAGTAATATTACATTGTGTATATATACCACATCCTCTTTTTCCAGTCCTCTATCACAGGACACTTTGGTTGTTTCCATGTGTTGGACACCATGATTAACACTGCAATGAACATATGGGGTTCATATATCTTTTCAAATACATAATTTTTGAAAGTTTTTATTTGGATATGTCTAGGAGAGAGATTTGGGTATACCCAGGTCATATGGGTTGTATGGTAGCTCTATTATTAATTTTTTGGGAAGTTCCAGACTGCTTTCCATAGTGGCTTTACAGATATACAGTTTGGTTTATAATTTATTTTTTGTTCAGGTCCTCATCTAAGGTGCCTTGGTAGGCTTCATTAATGAAGTGCCATTTACACTGAATCTTTTATTTATTTATTTATTTATTTATTTATTTATTTTATTGATTATGATATCACATAATTGTCCTCATCCCCCCATTCCCATCCCAAACCCCTCCTCACATATGCCCCCACTCCCCTGTTATCCATGGGCACTGGTTAGGCTTATATGTATGCACACAAGTCCTTTGGTTGATCTCTCTCCCTTACCCCACCCTCCCCTACCTTCCCTCTGAGGTTTGAGAATCTGAGGGGTCTGCTTCTCTTTCTCTGGGTCTGTTTTTGTTCATCAGTTTATGTTGTTCATTATTTCCTCTAAAGAAGGATATTCCAGGTAGCTGGAATAATATACAAAAGTATCATTGTGAAAAATGGAATGATGTATTTGGAAATATTGAAAGAAATAAAATATACCTTGAAAAATCTATAACATATCGACAGATCAATAAGAAAAAATGTGCCTAATGTATTTGAGGGAAAAAATAAAACTCTATAAGCAACATGAAAAAGGGTAGAATTAATTCAATGATAAATTATGTATAGGGATAAAAAGACTCAATGATGTCAACTCCTCACAAGTTTGTCTATAAATATAATGTATTTTCAAATAAGAATATTTTGAAAGCACTTGGCATATCAGATTCTAAAACTTAATGTTTATCAAACATATAATAAAACATGTTACAAAATCATTGTAATTATAGCATTGTGAACCAGTGCTAGAATAGACAAGTAGTAAACCTGTATATAATAGAGTTCAGAAACATACTCATGTATACATGAAAACTTGGTCTTTAACAGAAATTGCATCATTACTCAATGGGGAAAGAATAGATTTTTTAAAAGTTGGTAATTGAGTAAGTGGTCTCAACTAAAGAAATCCCCAATACATAATATATAAATAGGAATTAAAGTAGTAAATATTAAAAGCATTTTTTTAATTATTAAAAACTATGGAAGATCAGGAGAGAGAGATTTTTGTGGGACTTTAAGATAATACAATTTTTGTAGCTCTCTTTTTTAAAATATGTTTTTATTAACTTTGTAGAGAGAGGAAGGGGGAGAGAGAAACATCGACGTGTGAGAGAGAAGTCAATCGGTTGCCTCCAGTACACACCGTGAGTGGGGACTGAACCTGCAACTTGGGCATGTGGCCTGATCAGGAATCAAACCTATGACTTTTTGGTGCATAGGACAATGCTCAACCAACTAAGACACACCAGCCATGGATGGCATCTCTCTTTAATAAAGGGGATTTAAAATTCAGATAAAAAATTGAGATACTGCAATGCCCAATCAGGTGGCCTTCAATCCAAATATATTATTTGTGCTCATTCAACTACCCTGAGCCATATTGGGCATTGCCTTCATGTAGAAAGTTACAAGGATAGGATCTACAGTATTGTAGCAGGGCAATAGGAGTTTCTCTTTAGCATAACTCCTCAACATTAACATTTATAGAACATTCCATCCAACAAGAGCAGAAAACACATTCTTTTTTAGTGCACACAGAAAATTCACCATGATAGACCATAATCTGGGCCATTAAACAAATTTTGGCAAATTAAAAGTATTTAAATAATACATTAGGTTCTCTTACTGTTAACAGATTTAGCAAGAAATCAATAATAGATGCTGAAGCCGGTTCGGCTCAGTGGTAGAGTGTCAGTCTGCGGACTGAAGGGTCCCAGGTTCGATTCTGGTCAAGGGCATGCACATTGGTTGTGGGCACATCCCCGATGGGGGGTGTGCAGGAGGCAACTGGTTGATGTTTCTCTCACATTGATGTTTCTAGCTTTCTATCCCTCTCCCTTCCTCTCTGTGGAAAATCAATAAAATATATTTTTTAAAAAAAAAAAGAAGAAAGAAATCAGTAATAGAAAGCTATCTGTAAAAATCCTGACATATTTAGAAAATAACAAAATACTTTAAAATAATCCATTGATCAAAAGGAAAGTATTTTGAATTGACTTAAAATGAAAAAAAATCAAAAATTGTAGAATGCAGATCAAGAAATGATTAGAAGAAAAGTCATATGTGAAAAAAATATATTAAAGAGAAAAACAATCTCAAAAAGTATCTAACTTTTTCCCTTAAGAAATTAGATAAAAATAAAAAAATAAAGAAGACAAGCTGAAGATAGAGCAAAATAACTATAAAAACAGATATCAGTGGGATTACAAACTGAAAAACAATAGATAGAAAAATTATATGAGACCAAATGAAGTTCTTTATATGAGACCAAATGAAGTTCTTTATATGAGATCACATGAAGTTCTATGAAAAGATCAATAAAATGGAAGCACCTCTATCCAGGCCAATCAAGAAAAAAGAGAAGAGACATTACCAATATTAGGAATGAAAGATAGAACATTATTAGATAAATTAAAGGAGTAACAAGAGAGTATGACATACAACTGCACACCCACAAATTTGACAAATTAGATGAAATGGATGAGTTTCTTGAAAAGTATAAACTACTGAAGCTTACTGAAGAATAAATAGATAATTCAAATATTTATTAAAGAAATTGAGTTTGTGGTTAAAATTATCCCCCCCCAAAACAAAACAAAACAAAACAAAAAACAACAACTATAGGTTCACTTGGCATCACTGATAATATTCTAGCCAACATTTAAAGAAGCAATAACACCAGTTACACACTTTTTCTTTCCCAAAATAGAAGTGAATGGGTTGTTTCCTAATAATTGTATGAGGCCAGCATTACTCTAATATCAAAACCAGGCAAAGGGAAAAGTGCTACAGACCAATGTCTCTCATGAACATAAATGTAAAAATCCTCAAGAAAATATTATCAAAGCAAATCCAACAATAGACTTTTGCAATTTGATTTTTGACAAAGTTGCAAAGTCACTTTCAGTAGAAAAATAAGTATTTTCAATAAAGGGTGCTAAATCAATTGGGCACCTACTATGCAAAATAAAACTGTATTTATTTCTTAAAGGTGACGTTGGACCAAATGGACAACCTGGGCCAATGGGACCTCCTGGGCTACCAGGAATAAGTGTTCAGGGACCACCAGGGCCACCAGGGATTCCTGGACCAATAGGTCAACCTGGTAAGATCAAAGTAAATGTATATTTTGTAGTAGCACGGATTGTATAGATGTTTAGCTCTTCAAAATGTGTAACCTATGTAAGTCTTTCTGAAAGAGATTTGAGAGGTAACATTATATAATTAATTAATCCATGATATTTTTCCCCCCTATTCATTTAAATTTGATCTATTAACTATAATGCTATTTTATAATTGCATATATTGTCACAGCATATAGTTGTTGGGCTAACTGGATTCTTGGAATCACAGACCTAAGGACGTCTAGTGATGATTATTTCATACCTGAGTAGCTAGATGTACTGGTACAGTATTAACAGACATTGTTCTGTGGAACTTTTTAAAAACATTTTTAACACATGAAAGCTAGAGTTAACATTCTGCTAGAATATTTTTTTGGCATTCTCTTTCTTTTTTAATAAAATGATTTGAATTTTCTTCTCTTGTGCCTACAAATCAGCTATCACATTACAACTGATAAGCACTCTAAACTCTTTTTAAAAAATCTTCACCTGAGGATATGTTTTTATTGATTTTTAGAGAATGAGGAAGGAGGAGAGATAAACACCAAAGTGAGAGAGAAACATCAATGGGCTGCCTTCCTTATACGTTCTGAAGAGGGACTGAACCTGCAACTCAGGTACGAGCCCTGACTGAGAATCAAATCCACACACTTTTTGGTGTATGGTGTATGTTTTTGAAATTTTCTTTTTTTCCATTAACTAGTTCCATTTACCAATCAACTGAGCCACCCAGCCAGGATTAAACTCTTTTTATATAGATATGCAAAAATGTTTTTGTCAGCTTGTACTGAAGAAACATTTGTGTGAGTTTACAACTCATAAGCACTCTAAACTTACTTGAATTTGTGGATTCTGAGCCATCTGCTGATGTAAATTCTTTTTATCTTAATCTAAGTAGGCACAGTCTTGGTTACTCTTGAGCCAACATTATGTTATTGTAAAACACTGTAATAATTCATAAAATTAAAACAAATATGGAACATTTAATCATTACTTAATTCGTTTGAACACATTAAATGACAAACACACAATTTAGCTGTACAGATATTGACTTTGAACAAAGGAAATATATTTTCTGACCTTAAATGGCAGTAGGTATTTTGTTAGTTATCATGCTAAAATTCTAGAAATAACAATTAACAATATAAAAATCCTAGAAAGTAAAGGTTACTTTTGTTTATGTCCAGCTTAGAAATTTTATTTTTATGGCACAATACCTTTCATATGGCCCCAGCATGTCACTATTGATTTAACAATGAGAAAATTTACAGTGTGACTTTGAAGCAGATTTTTTTTAAAGTAGCTATTTCAATAGTCATGAAAAAATTATATCATAACAGAGAGATCTTAAGAAAAACAATTAATTTTTAGGATTGTCCATTATAGTCTTAACCTGCAGTTCCACAAAGATGGCTAAAATGAAATTATCATTTCTTATATTTTGTAATTTCTTTTTTAAAATTTCTATTAAATTTTTGGAGTAAAATTAGTTAATAAAATTATATAGGTTTCAAGTATACAATTCTATAATACATCATTTGTATTTTGCATTGTATATTTACCACCCTAAGTCAAACCTCCTTCTGTTACAATATATTTTATTTCCTTTACCCTTTTCTACCTCTCTTACCTCCTTCCCTTGGGTAACTACCATGTCTGTGTTTATGAGTATTTTGTTTGTTTGTTTGTCTTATTTGTTGCTATAATTTTATATTCCACAGATGAGTGAAATCATATGATTCTTAAAATTTATTTTATTTCCCCAAATTCATGTGGTTTTGAAAGCATTTTGAATTTTTAAATCACAGCTGAGCAAGAATAAATAAATGACTATTAACACCATTCTGAACAAAATAAAAATACATTTATACAATGTTTCATTTGTCTAAATTTCTCTCCATCTCTTTTTAATTGATGGATATGTGGGTATATTTATTTATAAAGTATAGATAGGATGGGCAGGGAGAAAATTAATCTTGCTGAATTTAATCTCTCCTCTTTCTTCTGTAAATACGATGTGGGCAAAAGGAGGTTTATAGTTGTAGATACATGTAACAGAGCATATACTTGTATTATTATTTATTATTTATAATTATTCTTCACATACTTTTGCCCACCATTCTATGTACTTTGCCATAGAATTCAAGATCTTAATATTGTTCAACAAACAAATGAAGTTAACAAGAACTGGCATGAAAATGTGTCCAGTGTATTCATATTAATACAGAAATTTTCTCAAGTCACAATTTTTTTGCCACAAAATAGACCACATTTTATATTTGCTACATATGTGCTCAACTTTTGAAGTAAATTTTATTAGATCACCAAAGCAGAATATTATCTTAGCCCATTTCAAAAATATAATCACTTCTGTTCATCTGTCTCAATAGCAGGGAGATCAGCAAGGCTATTACTAATATCTTTATATCCCTGACTTACACTGCATAGTTGAAATTCTAACTACCAATTTTTAAAATAAGAATTTTATTTAATATGCATATGGTTTCATCTTCTAACAGAAAACTTAATGGAAAGTGTTTTGTATTGTCATCTGTCCAGAGTAAAATATTCTCATTATGCTTTTCAGACTTTTCTTTTTACTTGTTTTCTGAGATTATTTAATTAAGTTTTACTATTTGTCATTCTCTTTTTCAAGGCAAGCTCTACAGTTCAATATGTGTTTATAAATTAAGGACCTGTTGAATATCAGTCCCTCATTTGACAGCAGGGAAATAAAGAATAATGATAAGGGACAAAAAATAAAGTGATTTTCATTCTATGCAGAAATAGAAGTTTTGGATTCTTATTACTTGATGTGGCCATTAGCTAGAAGATTACTGCTTTAATGAATCTTTCTAGAGATAACTTAAATATATTCACTTCCTTGTCCACAATTTGTTATAATGCTTGTCTAGTCTCGGGAATAATTACGTGGCTTAATGGTTCAAGTTCATCATGACTAATGTGAATCAAATAAATAAAGATTTTTATTAATGTCATTTTCATAGATGAAGGAGAATAGAGTACATTACAGTTTTTAAATGTTAGTGGCTATAAAACCCCTGGGCTGTTGGGTGTGTGTGTGTGTGTGTGTGTGTGTGTTTGTGTAAACTTCTCACAGATATTACATGTTTTTGAAATTTTCCTTTTTCCCATTAACTAGATCCTTTTACCTACCAATAAATTTAAAGTACTTATACAGCCCTAATGCATTTGACCTCCATAGATATATCCATATAATTACTATTATTATATAAGGAGAATCAACAGAGCTTTTGAATATATCTTTCTTCATCCTGATTATACCAGAATTAATATTCCTGGCAGTATTCATAGAATAAATCAATGCTGTTAAAAGTATAGCATAGTATTTTAAATACAATAAATAATAACAATAAAGAAAGAAATCTTGAGAATAAAAATGGCGGCATAGGTGAACATATATACTTGCTGCCTCTCTCACAACCACATCAAAACCACAACTAAACAGCAGAACAACTACCACCCAGAACTACGGGATACCTGACTGAATGGAAGTTCCACAGCTAGAGAGGTGAAGAAAGCACACTGAGACTGATAGAAGATGTGGAGGCACGAAAAGTGGTGGGATCTGGATGTGCTGCCATTTTAATCAGGAAGGAGATACAATATCCTGCTTACTCTGAACTCCAGTTCTGGGCAAGACTCTGGGGGATGCAGACACATACAGGGAGAAAATGGACTGTGTCATTGGGACAGGAATTCGAGGGCAGCTTTCTCTTAGAGGGGCTCGCAGTGATCATTGTTCCTGCACAGGGGTGCTGGACACAGAGAACTGAGGACTTCTCTGGTTCAGGGATGACTGGCAGCCATATCTGTTTGCTCAGCCATGGTAATTCCCAGAGACACCAGACCACCCAATTTATAACCCCACCCAAACTGTGTGCATTGGCTTTTGCATATGCATGACCTGTGCTTTCGCCTAAAACCTGTCAAACTGCAGCTGGGTCAGAGAGCCCCAGAGTTTAAAAAGAAGGCCCAAGCACGACCAGCCTTGCTTCACAGCTGGACCTCAGCTGGGCATTTCCAAACTCCATACAAAGAGGATGAATCTGCAGATGTCTCTGTAACCCCTGCTGGACAGCCCCAGAAAGTGGCTGACCTTGCACCTCCTTGGAGATCTAAGAGCCAATGCACCCAGTGATCAGAGTGAGACCATTCAGATAACAACTCTTCACATCCATAAGAGACACACTAAAGGTGCAGACTCAATGAGCACTAAAGCCCCACTGAAGGAAGTCCTGCCCATAAGGGTGTCTCCTGCACAACAGATTTTCCAGTGTAGACACAGCTGATCATCACAGCCAATTGGTCTGGAGGTCAATTCCTTCTAGTGATACCAACATCAAGGGTTAACTACAACAAGACTCTGCAAACAGCCCACAAAGGGGTACACCAAAAGCATCTACCTCAGTTGACTGGGGAGGTTGAGCCACTGGGCCCTATTGGACACCAACCACACAAGGCCACTCTATCAACTCAAGGAGACTTAGCAGCTACCTGGTACATAAAAAAAAAACACAGGGAAGCAGCCAAAACGCAGAGACAAATAAGTCACAAATGAAAGAAAAGCAAAATACTGGATATAGAGTTCAAAATCACGGTTATAAGGTTACATATTGTCCACTAAATAAATGCCCATAACTTTTCCTGTATGATATTAAAGATCAGTAACCCCACTACTGTGTCCATTATTTTTACAGATGAACAATATTTTACTTAAAAACATTGTATTAAACATCATCATAACTAAATATTGTATATTTCTTCATTTCAAGCAGAATCCTAGAATAGAATTACCTGGCCAGTAAGTATATAAATATTTAAGGTCTCTGTGCATATTAGCCTCCAGAAAAGTTACATTCATTTACAATTCTACTTGTAGTACTGTTTTTCCCCGAAAATAAGACATCCTCTGAAAATACGACCTAACGCATGGAAAGATAAGACATCCCCTGAAAATAAGACCTAGCACAACTTTGGGAGAAAAAATTAATATAAGACTGTCTTATTTTTGGGGAAACAGGGTATGTGAAACTATATGTTTTATAGTAAAAAAGTCCTAAATAAATAAATAAATAAATAAAAGAAAACAAAAAACTTTGAGATCCAACAGCAGTCTAGAGGATCCCAAGAATAAAGTCAAAGATTTGAAATACAAAAAAACAGAAAACACCCAACCAGAAAAGCAAAAAGAAAAAAGAATCCAAAAATATGAAGAGAGTGTAAGGAGCTTCTGGGACAACTTCAAGCATGCCAACATCCGAATTATGGGGGTTCCAGAAGAAGAGAGAGAGCAAGATACTGAAAACCTATTTGAAGAAACAATGACAGAAAACTTCCCCCATCTGGTGAAAGAAATAGACTTACAAGTCCAGGAAGTGCACAGAACCCTAAACAAGAGGAATCCACAGAGGACCACAACAAAACACATCATAATTAAAATGCCAAGGGCAACAGACAATGAGAATCTTAAAAGCAGCAAGAAAAAAGCAGGTAGTTACCTACAAAGGAGTACCCATATGACTATCAGCTGATTTCTCAACAGTTATGATGCATGCCAGAAGTGTGTGGCAAGAAATATTCAAAGCGATGAATAGCATGAGCCTACAATCAAGATTACTCTACTCAACAAAGCTATCATTTAGAATTGAAGGTCAGAAAAAGAGCTTCACAGATAAGAAAACGCTAAAGGAGTTTATCACCATCAAACCAGTATTATATGAAATGCTGAAGGGTATTCTTTAAGTAGTAGTAGTAGTAGTAGTAGTAGTAGTAGTAGAAGAAGAAGAAGAAGAAGAAGGAGGAGGAGGAGGAGGAGGAGGAGGAGGAGGAGGAGGAGGAGGAGGAGGAGGAGGAGAGGGAGGAGGAGAGGGAGGAGGGGGAGGAGGGCGAGGGGGAGGAGGGGGAGGAGGGGAAGAAGAAGAAGAAGAAGAAGAAGAAGAAGAAGAAGAAGAAGAAGAAGAAGAAGAAGAAGAAGAAGAAGAAGAAGAAGAAAGAGGTAAAGATAAAAATTATGAACAACAAAGTGACAACAAATACATATATATATATATATATATATATATATATATATATATATATATATCAACAAGTGAATCTAAATATCAAATAAATAAAAAATCTGATGAAAAGAACAAACTAGTGAATAGAATAGAATCAGGGGCATAGAAAGGGAGTGGACTGACAATTCTCGGGGGTGTGGGGGTGTGGGAAGAGATTGGACAAAAATCTTACACCTATGAATGAGTACATTGGGTGGGTAATAGCATGGGGTGGGGTGAGAACTGGGTGGAGGGGAGCTAAGGGGGGAAAAATATGGAACACCTGTAATAATCTGAACAATAAAGTTTTATTTTTTTTTAATGAACAAATAAACCCATAAAAAAAAAGAGAGAAATCTTGCCTTGTACATGAAGGTTGCTTAATCATAGCCATCCACTAATTATTGAGTTCTCTGTCCCTAACCTGTTAGGGTATAAATCAAATTAAATTCTTACTAACCCAAGAAGCTTAAATTCTAAAATGATTATACAAAGCAATGAATGATCAAAGATAAGCAAAAGTGTAAAGCTGGTCAACTTCAAGGAGTATTACTTTTTGTGAATGTAAATATTTTATTGTGTCTTTATTGGCAAATACCTTTGATTTATAGAATATGCTATATGAATATCTGACCTAATATCTAAAATAAATGGTTTTATTTCTTTATCCATTTCTCATATATGATAGTTGGAAATCAATACCTAATAATTTATATTTATAAACATTTTATTCTAATCTTTACATGATTAGCTTTGTTTCCTAACCCAATGAATCTTTTGCAGCTTGCTTCTTCTTTGGTTGTTCATATTCTTTGGTTGCTGCTGAACTGTCACACCCTGCCTCTTGAACTTTAGGTCTACCAGATACTGTAGTTTTGTTTTTGTTTTTCAAAAGTCCTATCTTAAAATGAAAGCTTTAAAATTAAATATCAAGATTTCTCCAGACTTAAGTATGGTTTCTTATTTTGTAGAAATGTTCTCTTGGAACATATTTCAAAGGACAAGTAGGTATCTTGAAAGCTCAGATATTAAAAATTACTTGAGTTATCATATAACAACAAGCAATGATCCATATAGGGCTATAATAGTGCTTATTATTAGTTATCTCATCATACTTCACAAATATAATAATATAAAATATCTCTCCCTGTTATAGTATTATACTATAAAATGGCAGCATTAGAACCATCATCACTGTGCAAATTAAAAGGAATTCTCTGATTTTCACATTGAATTTTATCAGTTTAAGGACATGCTGGTATATGACATTAAATAGATCTTAAAATTCCAGTATTTTGATCTCTTGTAAAAATAATTATATATGAATCTCTGACAATAAAATGATATCTTATTGTTAAAGGGACACTTGGAATAGTCACCTGCTCAGCCCTCAGCTTCCAGTCAGTTATGGCATATCCCCACTGAACAGACAAGGATCAACATTGTTAAATGACTAAGTCACATAGCTGATAGTTACTGGAGTGGGAACTCACACTATATTTGTAATGTAATATTTTTCCTTAAACATATTCTTTTTAACTACCTTGGTGTTTTGTGTTTTGTTTTGTTTTTAGCAGTTACATCTTCTAGAAAGTTACTAAGGTTATCTATTTTGTAGTGTCATATCTTTTTCTATAAAATTCTGGCTGGAATACTGAGAAACAAAACAAAATATAAAAATAATTATTAAAACATAATATACAAAGCCAAAATAAAGTCAAAGGGTGTGTGTAACTGACTTACTTGGTAATCACTTTTATGGACTATAGAAATATATCCCAATAATTTATAATACCTTAGAGCACATGTGTCAAACACAAGGCCCGCGGGCCAAATCCGTCCCGCCAGGCCTTGCAATGTGGCCCGCACCGCGCTGTCATCACTGCACTCCGCTGCGTTTCCATCACAATGACAGTTTATGACTGTTCAGTAAACCATTCGGCCCGCGATTTAGGCTGGATTTTAGATTTTGGCCCCTTCTCTGATTGAGTTCGACACCCCTACCTTAGAGCAATGTAAATCCAAGGGCCACTGTTGAACCGCAAAGAATTTATTACCAGTCTACATTGTACTTAGTATTAGAAGAAATTAAAAGTAAGCATTTAGAAACTTCTATTGCAATTTGACAGTGTAATTCTCTTTGTTAAATATAATAACCAAAAGTTAAGTTTGCATTTTGTTTGACTTTTTATTTTATTTTTTAGTATTATTTTTGTATTTTATAAAAAATACTAGTGGACCTGTTCATGAATTTGTGTACATTGAAAGGAAATTAATTAGAAGAAATATTTTACTGACATAACCTATGGCTAAATATGAAATCACATGGCCCTGTGAGGAATCGGGTGACACACCCCATAATGACCTCTGCCAAGTCACCACAGCTCAGCAGCATCTGTCTTAAGTGCCTGCCTCCTGGTGGTCAGTGCATGTCATATGTACCTGCTGGTTGGACAGTTGGATGCTCATTTAGCCTTTTACATATATAGATTAGTCCATGAAGGACTAAGAATTGAGAAAAGACTGATCTTTCACCATAAATAATTTGAGAAGTACTTTCTTAGAGAAATATACATGAAAGTCCTAAAGTTCAATTGTTAGGTCATTTTATATACATGATGTCAAAAATATATTTTAACTCACTGTTAGGTTTGTTATACATTAGATTCTATCACTTGTTTGCTAGCAAAAAAACAGCTCTTAAAACTGCTTTAATAACGTTTTAACATTGGTGTTGTCTTAACTAGGCTTGCATGGAATACCAGGAGAGAAGGGGGACCCAGGGCCTCCTGGGTTTGATGTTCCAGGACCCCCTGGTGAGAGAGGCAGTCCTGGGATCCCTGGAGCACCTGGTCCTGTGGGACCCCCAGGATCTCCAGGTCTTCCAGGAAAAGCAGGCACCCCTGGATTTCCAGGTAGTTTGTTTAAAGTTTTCTCTGGATTTGGATTCAGGCTATTAACTGATATGACTGTAGTATATTTTTCTCTTGTACTTTTCTGGATTTACACTGTTCCTTAAGGAAAAGTGTTAAATGTATTTGATTTCTGGAAACTGAATTTGCTATTTGTATTGTATTTTCTCTGTGAGAATTCTAGTTACATATTGCTATATAACAACCCCAAAATTTAATGGTTTAAATAAACCATTTTATTTTGCTCAAGAATTATGGGACTTTTAATGAAGTCATTTAACTCTGCTCCACATGACACCACCTGGAGTAGCTGAAGATGAAGGATTTACTTCCAAGATGGCAATTCGTTGGTATCTGAGTATTCCTTAGCCTCTTTATATGGTATCTCATTATCCATAGTGCCTCCTCACATGGCCTGGGCTGTTCACATTATGATAATGTCAGGTTAGTTACCCGCTTTTCAGGGCTACTGATTTTCAAAGGAGAGAATTCTAGAAACAAGTGAGTGTTCAAGAAATCCAAATGGAAACTGCAAGACTTCTTATGGTCTCACATTGGGAATTATAAAGTGTCACCTAATCAAGGGCAAGTCACAGAGTCAGCCCAAATACAAGGAGAGAAAGCTACATAATGATGTTTATACTAGGATATGTTTTTTATTTGTAGCTTATCTTTGGAGATTAGCTACCACATTGAGGCTTTTTATTCATTGCTTTTAATAATAGTGGTCACAAGGTTACAATAGTTGACAAGTGGTAAAACTTAGTCTTTTTTTCTCCAAATCTCAATAGTTTTCCAGTTAATATCTTATAACATATCTTTTATCTTTCTAAAATCAAGGAAATGTAAAAGTTACTTATTGATATTCTTCAAAGGTACCAAAGGTGAAATGGGTATCATGGGACCTCCAGGCCCACCAGGACAGTTGGGAATTCCTGGCAAGAGTGGTGTTCCTGGTCTCAAAGGTAATATTTAGAGTTTGCTGGCAGACCAGAGAGAAGATTAAACATCGCTTTATTTCATTACAGAATATTTTGACTATGTAAATGAGCTATAGTTCTTTTATTTGGTTTCTATATGATATGGCATTTAAATATGTCCTATTTTCAATTTGGTGGAATATTCAGTTTGGATACCATGAAACATGGTAAATAATGACATACAAGAATTAAATTTTCATATTATTTACAGTCACTATAGTTGTCAAAGAATCTCAGAAGAAAGACGGATTGTCATTTGAGCGTAAAAATGTGTGTGAGCTCAAGTTATTCATAGAAAATAACCAAAATGCTTAAGTGTTTTGGGTGGCTGGTGGCCTACCAAACTATGAAATGTATTAATAATGTTTGTATATATTAATCCTGGATGTATAAATCTAATATATTGTGTCTTTCCCATACATGTCTATTTTAGGTGATGATGGTTTGCAAGGTCAGCCAGGACTTCCTGGTCCTATAGGAGAAAAAGGTGGTAAAGGAGAGCCTGGCCTTCCTGGACCTCCTGGGCCAATGGATCCAGATCTGCTAGGCTCAAAAGGCGAGAAGGGGGAGCCTGGCTTACCAGGTAAGTGAAGGTATTATTAATTAATACATTTTCAGATTTATCTGAAGTTCAATTTTTGATATCATTAAAAGTGACTTTTAGTCCTGGATTAACCAACAAAAGGTACATCAATTTTTGTAATGAAAATCAATTTTCACTTAATTTTTACTATTTCATTGATCAACTTTTGTTTGAGTATTTTATTTTTAGTTTATCTGTCACAAACTGAAAGGTTTTAAAATAAACTTAAGAAGTCACCTTCAGGCCTTCCAGAATGTATTATAGGGTATAGTTGAGAGGAAAAGATAGTCAGAATCATTTGGAAAAGAGATTAGAGTGTTTAAGAAATTTCCTGGTCCTTTCATTTTCTCCCCCCTGAAACCAGATTGGGAAGAGTGATACATTAATTTTCCTGCAGTATTTTGATATTCCTATCATACATTGCTTTTTTTTCTTGTTTTTTATTGACGATGGTACCACATAATTGTCCTCATCCCCCCAAACCCCTCCCCATATATTTGAAATACAATTCATTGTTATTTTATCTTTTTTTAATAAACCTTCATTGTTCATGTTATTACAAAAGTTCCTCAATTTTTTCCCCTCCACCAGGTTCCTACCTCACCCGCTGCCCTTTCCTCACCCCCCATTGTCCTCATCCATAGGTGCACAGTTTATGTTCAGTCTCTTCCCGCACCCCTCACTCCTCTTTTCCCTGAGAATCATCAGTCCACTCCCCTTCCATATCTCTGATTCTATTATATTCAATATTGTTCATCAGGTCTTTTAATTCCCTTGGTTTTTAGTTTCACTTGTTGGTGTTTATGTATTTGTTGTTCATTATTTTTATCTTTATCTTCTTCCTCTTCCTAAAGAACCCCCTTTAGTAATTCATATAATTTTGGCTTGGCAGTGATGAACTCCTTTAGCTTTTTTTTATTAGTGAAGCTCTTTATCTGGCCTTTGATTCTGAGTGATAGCTTTGCTTGGATAGATTATTTTTTGCTGTAGATTCTTGCTATTCATCACCTTGAATATTTCTTGCCATTCCTGTCTGGCCTGCATGGTTTTATCTTGGCAGAATAAACAAGAACTGGACTATGTGTGTGGGTGTGTGTGTGGGGGGGGTCACTGAATGTAGATCTAGAGAACAACTGTGTTTATATAGTCACTTTATTAGAACCAATTAAAGTATGAAGTACTATAGCATTTATTTTTTAAATAAAAATTCTTATTTTTTCCCATCTTTTGGGGGCATTTTTTAAATTTAATAAATCGTTATTATTCAGATTATTACAATTGTTTCTCCTCCCCCCCTCCAATAGCTCCCCTATACCTGGTTCCCATCCCACCCTCTGCCCTTACCTCCCCCAAACTGTCCTCATCCATAGGTGTACGATTTTTGTCCAGTCTCTACCCATAGCCCCCCACACCCCTTTCCCCCTGAGAATTATCAATCCATTCCCATTCTATGCCCCTGATTCTATTTTATTCACCAGTTTATTATGTTCCTCAGATTTTTAATTCACGTGATTTTTAGATTCACTTGTTGATAGATATGTATTTGTTGTTCATAATATTTTTAGATATATTTTAATGATTTTTTTACAGAGAGGAAGAGAGAGGGATAGAGAGTTAAAAATATCCATGAGAGAGAAACATCTATCAGCTGCCTCTTGCACACCCGCTACTGGGGATATGCCCGCAACCAAGGTACATGCCTTGACTGGAATCGAACCTGGGACTTTTCAGTCCACAGGCAGACACTCTATCCACTGAGCCAAACCAGTTTCGGCTGTTGTTCATAATTTTTATCTTAACCTTTTTCTTCTTTCTCCTCTTCTTAAAGAATACCTTCCAGCATTTCATATAATACTGTTTTGGTGGTGATTAACTCCTTTAGCTTTTTTATCTGTGAAGCTCTTTATCTGACCTTCAATTCTAAATAACTTTTCTGGGTAGAGTAATCTTGGTTGTAAGTTCTTACTATTCATCACTTTGAATATTTCTTGCCACTCCCTTCTGGCATGCATAGTTTCTGTTGAGAAATCACTTGACAATCATATGGGTGCTCCCTTGTAGGTAATTAACTGTTTATCTCTTGCTGCTTTTAATATTTTCTCTTTGTCTTTTGCTCTTGGAAATTTAATTATAATGTGTCTTGCTGTGGTCCTCTTTGGATTCCTTTTGTTTAGGGTTCTGTGCACTTCTTGGACTTGTAAGTCTATTTCTTTCACCATGTAGGGGAAAGTTGCAGTCATTATTTCTTCAAGTAGGTTTTCAATATCTTGCTCTCTCTCTTCTTCTGGCACCCCCATAATTCTGATGTTGGTATGCTTGAATTTTGTCCCAGAGGCTTTTTACACTATCTTCAAATTTTTGGATTCTTTTTCTTTTTGCTTTCCCAGATGAGTGTTTTTTGCTTCTTGGCATTTCAAATCTTTGACTTGTTTCTTGCCTTCCTCTTGTCTGCTGTTGGGTCTCTATATAATATTTTTTATTTAAGTCAGTGTATGTTTACTTCTTAGTTGGTTCTTTTTCATATCCTCAAGAGTCTCATTAAGTTTATCAACCTTTTCTAGGAAATTGTTGAAAAACCTTATAACAGTGGTTTTAAACTCTATATCCAGTCATTTTATTTTCTCCATTTCTTTTGTTTCTGATCTGTTTTTTTCTCTCCACATTTTCACTGCTTCCCTGAGTTTGTAGGGTGGCTTTGTTTGCTAGGTGTCCTATATGGCCCAATGAGTTGGCCTCCCAGTTACCTTAGGTGAACACTCTTGGTGCACACCTTTGTGGACTGTGTGTACAGCATTGTTGTAGTTAAGTCTTAATTGTTATTGATGTCACTGAGAGGAATTGACCTCCAAGCCAATTGGCTGTGAGGACTCACTGTGTCTATAATGGAAGAACTGCTGTGCTGGAGACACGCTTGTTGGGCAGGACATGTTTCAATGGGGCTTTACTGGTCACTGAGTTTGCCTCTTGAATGTGTCACTTATGGATGTGAGTAGTTAAAATCTGGTGTTGTCTCACTCTGACCACTAGATACACTACCTTCTGGATCTCCAATGGGGTGCAGGTCAGCTACTGTCTGAGGCTACGCAGGAAGAACTACAGAGAGAACTACAGTTTTCTCCTCTTTGCTTGGGGTTTGGAAGTTTTGGAGCTGTCTGACCAGATCTGCAGTTTGTTAGGTTAAGCTGCAATGGGGCAGGCCATTTATATGCAAAAGCCTCTGCATGGCACTTGGGTGGATTTGTGGGTTGTTCAGGGCAGGGTCTCAGGGAGTCACTAGCTTAGGGCATGGCAAACATCAATGGCTGCCAGTCAGCCATCTCTGTGTTTCTATGTTTCCATGTTCCTGTGTCCCATACCTGAGCACAGTAAATGATGATTGCAGGGCGCACTTCTATAAGAAAGTCACCCTCACTTTCTGACCTGATGGCAGACAGTCCAACTTCTCCCTGTAGGAGTTTGAGTCCCAAGCATCTCCCCAGAAACTGGAGTTCAGAGTAATCAGGAGCTTTTCTCCCTTTGGGTTGAAAAAAGCAGGGTACCCAGTCACCCACCACCAGCTCAATTTGCACACCTCCATACCTCAGCATTTCAGCGCTTGTGTACATCTCAATGCTTTTTTCTCTTTGCTTCTAGTTGTAGAACTTTCACTCAGCCAGCTTTCACGTGGTTCTGGGTGATAGTTGTTTTGTCTTTTAGTTATAGTTTTGAAACTGTTGTGCGAGGCAGCAGTTTAGGTGTTTACCTATGCTGCCATCTTGGTTACTCCTTTCTTATTTTTATAAAAGTATAACATTCAGAGGCCTGGAAAACCCACAGCAGAGGAGTCCATCAAGCAGCTGTGACGCCCCAATCGGCAAAAACACGTGGATTCAAGGGAGTTCTCCAATCACCCACAGAAAGGACAAGGAACACCACATAACCAGACATCCTGAAAAGAGAGACCATGGGGAGACAAAAAAATAGCCCGCACATGAAAGAAAAGCAGGCATCAACAGAAAAGGAAGTAAATGTGTCAGAGGCAAGCAGCCTACCAGAGCAAGAATTCAGAATAATGATCATAGGATGGCTAAAAAGAATGGAAGAGAAATTTGACAATAATCAAGAAGAAATGAGGAAGAACCATGAGGAATTGAAGAAGAACCAAGGAGAAATGAAAAATGACATCGCTACCATGAAGAACTCAATACAAAGCATCAAGAGTAGACTAGATGAAGCAGAGGACAGCATCAGTGAGCTAGAAGACAAGATGGAAAAAAATAACCAATTAGAGCAGCTTCTAGAAAAAAAGATTAAAAAGTAGGAGGAGAGCCTACGGGAGCTTTGGGACAATACAAAACAAAATAATATTCGAATAATAGGGGTTGCAGGAGGAAAGGAAACTGAGGTAGACATGGAAAACGTATTTCAAGAAATAATGACAGAAAACTTTCCTGAGATAGAGAAGAAAAAACCCACACAAATCTAGGATGCTCGCAGAGTCCCAAGCAAAATGAATCCCAGAAGACAGATACCAAGGCACATTATAATTAAATTGGCAAACAACAACAACAAAGTAAGAATCTTAAAAGCAGCCAGAGAGAGACAGAAAGTTACATACAAAGGAACCCCCATCAGACTAGCAACTGATTTCTCAACAGAAACTTATCATGTCTGAAGGGAATGAGATGAAATATATGAAGTCATGCAAAGGAAGGGTCTGAATCCAAGAATACTGTACCCAGCAAGGCTATCAATCAAAATTGAAGGGGAAATCAGGAGCTTCACAGACAAAAAAAGACTAAAGATGCACACAGACTGAGGGTGAAGGGATGGAAAAAAGTTCTCCAGGCAAATGGAAATGAAAAAAAAAGCTGGGGTAGCAATACTTATATCTAAAAAGTAGATCTCAGAGTGAAGGACATAATAAGAGATAACGAAGGCCACTTCATAATACTAAAGGGAACAATCCAACAAGAAGAAATAACCCTGGTAAATATATATGCACCCAATACAGGAGCACC